ACTTACCGTTTCCGTTTGGGCCTTCAGGAACCACTAATAAGCTGAAACGGAACAGAAACAGCGATCTCGATTAGTAATCGTAAAGTTACAGCTATCTTTCAATGGAATTGTTTTGAATGAACTAATAGCTTCAAAAAACAACACTGATTTAGTTTAGTAAATTGCACCTTTGCTTGTTTTCCTGCGCCAACATTTTCCACTTGATAGCTATTCTATACACGGCTGTACACGGCCAATGAGATCAACCCAAAATTGGGTTCAGTATACTCATAAATCGCAAAAAGTGCAGGAACTCAACGATGAGTAAGTTTGCCTCATGTTTTCCTGTGGAACATCTCAAAAATCTGCCGGAGAATGATGAAATTGACGAAAATTTTATTCAGTCTCGGAGTAGTACCAATAGACTGAGTGAATCCAATCTTTACTTTTCTCAAATTCGGGAATTTTTCCCTGGAAAAACCTGGGAAAACATGAGGCAAATTAACTCATCGCTGAGTTCGTGCACTTTTGGCGATTATGAGTGAACTAAACTCAAATTTGAGTCGTTCTCATTCGCCGTGTATATTTGCCTCATGTTTTCTGTGGAACATCTTAAAAATCTGCCGGAGAATGAGGAAAATTGACTACATTTTTACTAAGTCTAGGAATAGTACCAACTGACTGAGAGAATCCAGTCTTTACTTTTCTCATATTCGGAAATATTTTCCTTGAAAACCCTGGAGAAACATGAGGCAAATTTACTCATCGCTGAGTTTCTGCACTTTTTGCGATTTATGAATAAACTAAACTCAAATTTGGGTTGATCTCATTGGCCGTGCAAACCAAAAGATCCTACACTGAAAAAAGTTTTCATATAATTTCCATTGGGAACGCACATGATATTTTTCATATAACAAATTAAATGATTTTTAACTGAAATTCACATAACATTCACATGATCACATGAATTCTATGTGATAAATCACATAAACTTCATTGGACACATAAGGTTCACGTGATTTCGTGGTACGATTCCCAATTATGAGATCACATGAAAGTTATGTGAAATTCTAATGGATATTTTGCATCGGAAATGTGATTTATATTTTCAGCGTATTATCCTGTCAGCGAATTACTCAAGGGGGACAACACATCTAAATCTCAATCTTAAAATGCCCAAAATTTAGCGCTAGCGAATCAAGCATTTTAGAAAAAGTCGCGCCCCTCGGCACTACTCTACATTGCATATACCGTTCAAATTTGACTGGCAAATGTTCGGAAAACAGGTCAAAGGATTAGCATTTCTTGACCATTGACGACTGTCAATCAAAACACGCCCTGGCCATCATAACCTCAATTTGCCAAACTTTTTCCGTTCACCAATTTTTCGTCTACGCACAGATTATTTTAGAACGAATGTATTGTTTTCAATCGCAATTTACTTCCTACTGCCACTGACCTACGCCAGCTGACTACCTTCCATGCAGTGGCAGCTACCGCTCACACACTCATTGGAGTTTTCTTTTCTGGAGGGCCCCCCCATTGGCAAACAATGGCATCAAACGCCAATTTCCGGAGGTTCGACACCCACACCGCAATTTGCTTATGGATAAACTTCGATTCACAACGAAAACCGGCGCTCGGATGCAATGTTTACCAAACCGAACAGGGTCCGGAATGAAAGGAAAACCGCAACTGAAATGTCAAACTGACAGCGTGCAATAGACATCTTTATGCTTAAACTTCACCCAACTTCCCAACTATACACATTGCAGAAAACACGGCCATTTTTGTTTATACGAATGTGAAAAGAAAACAAAAAATATATATCGAAGAGAAAAACAAATTGAAATTTGACGAGTCTCAGAAACAAAAAAAGAAGAAGAAGAGAAAACAAGAGATGAATTCTTGTGTACAAAAACTAAGGAAATTACGAGAAAATTCGCGGAAATTCGAGAAACTGAAGCAATCGCGAAGAAGAGAGTTTATTTTCAACAAAACAAACAAGTAAGCGAAAAACGATTTAATAAGAGTAATTAGAACACAAAATGCCAATACTTAGCGAGTAATTGAAGAGAATAGAAAAGAGATCGATTTTTGTTTGTTTGTTCGAAGAATTACACATAGTAGAGCAAGAAACTGAGAGACAGACAGAGAGAGGAAAAAACGTTTTGATTTCTTATTTTTTATTCAGTCTATTTATTTTAAATCTTAATCCGTAGCTTATAGAGAAGGAGAAAAGAAGTTAAGAGGAAAAGAGATTTTTGTTGTTTTGCCACGCCCACCTGCTTTTAGTGAAAACGGAAGATAATTTAACGCGAAGAAGGAGGCAACCAAGATATTATATAATTCGATATATATTAGAAGAAGAAGAAGAAGGCAGAAAACGAGAGAGGGCACTTTTTATATTGATTATTTACGTTCGAAATAGTTGAAATCTGAAGCAAGTTTTTTTCTTTAATGATATCGAGAAAAAGATAATTCATTTTGATCTCCCTAGTTAGTCAAATGCATTACACACACTGTAAAGCAATTCAGAGCGCGAGCAGACAAGTTTATTTTCTTTATTTTGTTTCGTACTATAATTGAGTAAAAAGGGAAGAGCTGTAATATTAAAACACACACACACACACACACACAAACAAAACAAAAACAATGTAATCGAGACAAATAACAATACACACAGAAGTCACACTGACACTGACAAGGAGAGCTTCATCTTCTGTGAAGAATGAGGTTCGGATGACGACCACTGGAAAATCAGAAAAGGAAAACATAAGGAAACAAGTTTGACTAGTGATGAAAAAAAAAGGAACACACACACATACAACTGAGTAAAAACAAAAGCTAACAAACTGTAAATAGTAAAAAGAAGAAGAAAATGAGGAAAATCATATAAAGCAAATTGATTCAATAAGTGAGAAAACGAGTTCATTTTAGGTAAGCAACAGAAGTAAAATCAGAGATATGAAACAAATCCTTTTTAGGTAATGAATAAGCTTAACTATAAATCAATAACTCCGTTGTTTCCGCCTTTCATTTTTCCCTTCTGGAACTCTTGTGTACTGCAAAATCTTCGTTTCACGTTCTCTCTAGTGTGCAGAAACGTTGATATGTATATTCTGTAATGCCTGTTTCACACCACCCAAGTAAGAACGCTCATACAAAACCAATACACAGCAATAGACTTTTCAAAGTAATTGTTTCCAGAGAACCAAAACAAAGCAAAACAAAAAAAAAACATAACCCACTACAGTACGTCGTTCAAGTACCAGATATGTAAGCAAAACTATAATTTTACAGAAACACACACACACACATACACACACCTACATGTAAAACAAACTGACAACTCAGCCAACACATTGAAAATATAAAAAAAAAATCAAACACGAATACACAGACGCATACTTTGAAAACAAAACAGGAAAGTAGCAAACATTTAACTGTTAATTTAAAGTAAACCAGCAAAAACAAAAAAAAAAACAATATTACTGAAACAGAAAATTAAGAATTTAAAAGAAAATCAAAATCGTACAGAAGAAACAAGATAACTAAAAAAAAACATTAGCTAAGTACATATAAGTAAGACAATTGCAACACAGATGAGAAAAAAAAACACAACTCTTCAAACAAACAACAGCAGCAGCAGCATAACAAAGTTTCAGAGTGTGTGTGATACGCCCGGAAATGAAACAGCCACCACCACTCTCGATGGTACTCTATGTAGTAAAACTCTTAGATATCCGATCGCGAACGATGATGATGAAATGATGATGAGTTTCTGAATAAACTGGTGAAAAATTCTTGAAAAAAAAAATCATCTGACTAGGTAGGTCTGTAAGCTGCTAATAGAAAGCTTCGAAAGCCCTGTGGCATCGTTTTTAATTTTTTGGTGTTTTAAGATTTTAGAGGATTTCCGGTCGGAACGATCAGTCGATGTTGTTCAAAGACTATTTCATAGAGTTGGGAAGATATTATCATAGTAATTGTTCCGTCTCCGCCGAAAGTCAACTGATACGAACACGACCAACAAGCAGCGAAGAACGAGACCATCAATAGGCTACAACATCCACCAATCAGCGACGACCACATCAACGCTCGCCGCTTTAAAAGAGGCATGCATCACCGTGCAAAACAAGAGTTCTTTTCCGACCAAGCACCAGCAAACATCAGCAGCAGTAGAAGCAGAATTTGTAGAGAGAAAGAGGAGAGAATAAACAGTTGTTAGCGTAGCCGTCCCGATCAAGTTTATTTTGCACACATCCCTGGTTTGGAGCAGCGTCGAACCCACCAGCTCTTTTCAGAGCCCTTACGAGTTGATTTCCGATCGACGCTTGCTTCCTCCACCACCCTGCCGATACAGTCCACTACCAAAAGGGAAAGTTCCCTCCCAGTCCGAACAGTAATAATGGTCATATCTCTGGTCAATGAAATGTTTATATCAAAGATGACTTCTAAATGTATTCCCTTTTCCACAAGTACCATTGAATTTGATAAACAGCCACACATTGTTGAGATATTGTTAAAAATCTAACACTGTTTCTTGATTCCAAATTCGTCCTACGAGTTTCAATTCCGTCCAAACGCATTGAAACGCCATTGGCTTTTCTTTGTCCTACGGATGAAGGTAGAAAAAGCGAGTTTGCTAGGAGCGCTTCTTTTGTTTTGAGAACAATGAGTGTAAATATTCACCCAATACGCTCTAAAAGGCTTTGTGTTGTAGCTTGTGAACTAACGCATCACAGTACAGTACAAACGTATTACTGATTTGTGCACGGTCAAATCATTGATTATACTGATATTTTCTGCTCGATAGAACGGAAATGGACGATTACGACGAAGTAGCGCTCTACCCTATATCTATTGTTTTCCATTACTGACATAGCGTTATCATTCGGCTCGTTGATCGCTTGTTATTTTGCCTTGCATTAGATCGACTTGTTGGTTGGAAGATGGAACGCCCCTTCAATATTGAATGCTTTCGGATTCAATAAACGAACTCTAGCGTTAACTCGAACTCTATCATATTCTTGCAACCATAAATAAACCTACCAATTCGTTCACCTCCACTACTGCTTCAATAGAAAACTTAAATCCGCTCCGGCATCAAATTCTTCCGGTGCCTGTCCGCGCCTCAGCAACCTAGCCTTGCGCGTTCCGATCAACGTTGCCCGATCGCCATCCACCAGCAAGGTGCTGCCTTCCCGGAGTCCCAGCACCGGTGCGTCGTTTTGCTCATGAAACTGCAAGATCCTCTCCTCTCGCGTTTCACCTTTGTGTGTTCCGCCCACCTCCGGATCCAGATAGTGCGGATTAATATTGAACGGGACCAGTGCCAGGGCGTCAAACGACGGCGGGAACACAATTGGCATATCGTTCGTGGTTTGGATGCTCTTCGTTGCCACATTCGTCCCAGCCGAACTACCCACATACGGAACAGAATGGTTAAGTACCCGATCCCGAATCGGTTCCACAAGACCGAAATCGTACAGGGATTTCAGCAGCAAAAACGTATTGCCTCCGCCGACGTAGATGGCTTGGGCTTCCCGTACCGCTTCCACCGGATCCGGTTTGCTGTGGACGCCCTCGCAGTCGAAACCCCACCGTTTCAGCACGGATCCAACCTTCTCGGTGTAACAATCATGGTTGGCCAGCGCGTACGGAATGAACAGAACTTTTTTGACATTGTTTCTGCAAGGAAAGTGTGTAAATTCAAGTGACAAATTTGGAAGTTATTCCAACTAACTTTTTTAAATAGGAGCTAAGATCCTGTTCGGCATGTTGCAGGTACGTGTAACCGTGCACGACGGAGGAGGACATCAGAAAGAGTTGTCGTTTGCCACTCATCTTGAAAAGGGCGTTCATAGAATCGTCAGCGGTACCTAAAACGGAGATTGAGAGAATTAGCAGCCAAATGGATTCCATCTTTATCAGGTGCGGAACAACTACTGGAATAGGGCCAATTCCAGAATCGAGTTGCACATCCCCGAACAAACATGGTGAATAAATCAATTGAATTACATATATGAACAACCACCTCAATTGAGGGGAAAAAAAAGGGTCATCATTTATGGAATCATTTGACCATTGTCCACTGATTCAACCGCACATAATGTCACAATGGGTACATCAAATTGGGGACTTACCAGCTGGAGCAATCGAACTTAACTGATGCAATTCCAAGCAAGATGTATGAGGATGATTACAATTAGCTCAACAATGTACGCAGAGATAACCACTATATCCTACTTAATACTTTGGAACCGTTTTCAGTCTTTTGTTGTTTCTGCTGATAACAGTCAACAGGGCAGTGTTTCGAATGCACTAGTGAGATAACGAGCCCCACTTGATGGTGGTAGTAACTTCTACTCAGCAAACGAATAATATGAGGCTCGATTGAGAATGCCAAAATTTAATATGATGCGGATTGATAAGAACAACCGAACAACCACTGGCCAGTCTAGACGAGAACGAACATTATTTTTTTGTTTTTGTTTTTGGACGCTCTGGACGGAGGAGAGTGAAATTTAAAAATCATGCTGTCAAACGGGTAGCGATTTCGAGCCAATTTGCTGTCAAATCCGAGCCAGTTTCTGATTGGTCGATTTGACAGTAGCAATCGTGGAATAAAAAGGACAGAGGGATCGCATCAATCTGGCTAGCAGTGATGCCGGAATCAATGTTGACGTGAATGGCATTGTTAATTTTTTTATATTTGCGAAAGGAAAGTTGAAAAATTGAGTGCATTGCGTGTTTTAAGCGTTGGATATTGTTGTTTGTTTATGGTTGTTTTTATTGTGTTGAGCAAAAATGATGCACATGTTGCTAAGCTGCGGAAGGAACTCCGCATAAAATCCAAATTAATATAGAATAAATATTTTACATTCCTGGCATCCTTGGTCAACTCCGTCAAACACCACGCACAAGTTTCCGAAGGGCATTCTTCAAAAACATTAAGAAGAGTGAGAAGCTCGATTGTCAAGTCCCGTCCCGGATATACAGTAGAGGGTTTTATTCACAAGTATTATTCCGCGATTTAGGGATAGGACATTAATCTATAATAGAACACGCTCGTTTATTTTTACTCTAAAGTGAGTAACTTCTACTCAGTTTGGTATTTTTATTCAAAATGTCAAAAACTGAGTAACATTGATTTAGCTAACTGAGTAACATTTACTCTGTTTATCTTAAATCAATGATTACTCACTTTAGAGTAACCATCCAAAAAATTACTCATCGTGCATTTGTCAAAGAGTTACAAAATTTTCGTAGTCCCCGTTTTTTCTTCAATCATTAAATTCCTATAGATAGGTATAATAATTTAAATTGTAGAATCAACATCGACGAGCATTGCAGCATCTTCAGAAACCAACTATTTCGAAACCAAACAGGAACCATTGCAGAACAAAGAGGATGTGTGGATTTTGCAGCTGAAGGAAATTTTGGACCTGGCGAAAGAGGAACATTAGGCAAGATGCCAATCAACTATTGTGCATTACTTTGCACTTCATACTCGACTTTATATCAACAAGCCAGCAGGTAGATTTCTTTAAACTGATTTTGTGATCGATGATATGTAGAAAGTTCGAATTAACTTTCATTTCAGGAGTACGAAAAATTCCCTGTCGGCAAGAGGACTGATGAACCAATGTTCTCCATATGAGAAGTCTTCAAAATTAATGGTATCTTCCAAAATAAACGGGTACCATATACTGACGATATCTTAGATGGTGTGACCATACCACATAAAATTGGGTTGATATCTCGAATTAGTGGTTAGGCGCATCTTATGGTTATTGTTTATGCGGGTTTGCAATGTAACGAGATGTAACCTTAATGTTATTATTTTATCTTTTAATAAATATGTTGTTTACTTTTCTCACATTCTCTAAATGTCAATTCAAATTACTCATTTTATATACCGATATATTGTACAAGAACTGAGTAACATTCACTCAGTTTTGCTAATTTCCCGAAAACCGGAACTGAGTAGAAGTTACTCTGAATTTGACAAATGCATCCATTACTCAAAAGTGAGTAACTTGGGTTTACTCTCTTTAGAGTAGTTCCACTTTTACCGAAAGTGAGTGGATTTCTACTCACTTTAGAGTAAAAATGAATGAGCGTGTATGTAACTGTCATAATATGTGTGAAACATGACGGTTTTTTTTCTTATTCTTTCACTCCAACTCAAAACCCCGTTAGGAACTGACAAAATGTGTGTGAAGAAACGTTACTTCGGGACTGGTGTCAAGGCGAATTAGAACACTGATCTCACCACTACTGACAGCATGGCACCACCTTACTATCACACGCTTACTTCAGCTTACCCACCGGATGAGTCGATCGTACTCAATTTCGTCTGATGCATTAGGTTGTCAAAATCTGAGTAAACGGGAAATGTCAAACTGAATAAAAGTCAGTCAGTCAGCCAAGTCAGCGAGGTATCAACCCTAATAAAAAATTACCTTACACGAACGGTAACCCAAATGATTGAACTATTCCACAAATGGTTTGGATGATACCACGAACACGTCGTTAAGCAAATTAACCATAACATTTTTATTAGGGAAGGTAAGTACGAATTGCATGCGGACACGGTTTTCAGTCGTCTTCAGTTTCAGTCAAATAAATCTGGAGCAGGTAATTTCCATTTTTTATCAAAACTAATAAAAAAAAAACTTTCCTACTGAAAATATTACAGAGTGGTTTTGACTCACTCTGTGCGTGAACGTCGTTTACTCAAAAGTGAATAAAAGTGTGCCTACTCACTTTTGAGAACACATACTTAAGAATTCCCGCTGAAATTAGCATGTTCGACTCAATTTTGAAATGTATGAAGATTGGCGAATAAAAGCAAAGTCAATCCTAGTTTTAAGATCCGTACTAAAAAAATGTCATGCAAATTGACAGAGATGAAAACGTCATTACCATTTTCACCCACTCGTCATCTGTGAGTGAATCGTCACTTTGTAACCTCTTACCGAGTTTCTAACCTGAATTTGGTGATAGTTTTGCAAATATACAATACTGGAAAATTGTTCGTAAATATAAATCACATGCAAGCTATGTTTGGTTTATATAATTAAAAAAAAAATTAATAAACGATTCAAATAATTACTAAGTTTTCCATAGGATTTTGATATTTTTTAGTCTAGTAAAGTAGCGCATCGTGACCACGCCATGCGGGAAAAAAAATCCCAAAAACACGAGCATGATGACAAAAATAAGGGATGTGCCGTCAAAATGGCATTATACCCTACTCTACAGAGACTGATTATAGTCGCTATATTCATAGTCTGGGGGATAGAATGTCGGGAACCAATTCAAATGTCAAGTAGCGGAACCAATCGAGCAAATATGACCAACAACAGAAAAGAGTACATCAGCTATTGCAAAAAAGTTTCGGAAACCGTTTTCTCGTGACTCAAGGCTCGCCTACACAAGCTCGCCTACACAAACTAATCTTTAGGTTGTGGAAAGTTTCCCCTATCCGATGATGCCGGCAGTTTGCGTTCGATTAGCGAGGAAAGAATAGTCAATGTGGTGGTTATAAAAGTTGATAGTACATTTTCAATTGTTGATCTACAATATATTGAATTGGTTCAGCTTTTTAATTTCATTTCATTTTCATTTTATGATGTACAAGGGGGTCAGGGGCCATGTCACCGATGTGAATATTCACACCATCCATAATACACCAGGGAAGGGGAGAGGAGTGAGCAACACAGTATCTTTACCCATGGGGGTTAAAAAAGTTCTGCGAGGTATACTTATGGTAAACCAGCTGCTCAGGGATTGTAGAAAGGAAAGGGTTGGGTAGGTTTTGTGTGAAAAGCGCATAAGTTATTATCGTATCGTTGAAAAATGGCCTCGTTTGGTTTGCGCTCTCGTCACAGAGCGCATCGATTACATCACACCGTCAATGAAAAAGAAATTAAAAGAGATTGAAAGAGATTATTAGTGAGTTTTAAACTGTGATTTACCTATTAGAAATACATTTGTAAAATTGTCTCCGTGTACTGAACAACTATCCCTCTCGCCATCCCGCCGCCTAAACGTCTGAAGGAGTGTGACGTCAAACTCCGTCATCCATTCAATCAGCCGGAGAACGAAAGAGCGTGCAATGAGCGTCAGCGACCCTAATAAAGGGTGGGGGGAGCACCATACATGAACGATACCACAAATCGTGCCACCGTACCACATATTGCTGGGATGATAACCCGAATAGGTTGTTAGGCACTCCTTATGGTTATCGTTTATGCGGGTGTTTCAAAGGAATTTACATCTAATCAACCCTCTGTGCGACCCAACCCGTGCAATGTATTTAATGTTGAGAGCCTTGTGTGCCTTATCATGAGTGGTCACGGATCTGGCAATCTTCACATGACTATGCTTCCCGGTGACGACGACTACGATCTAGCCGGTTTACAATAGGTTTTATACAAGAGTACTAGAATAGATCGGAGTATACTTACAGTTTTCGACGTTCCCATGTACTCCTTGTTTACCTACAATACTACTTCCTTCTCTTGTTGTATTGTGTTTCTGGATAATGGATCCTCGCTCCGGAATGTCTTCAAAACTGGGGGGTTAAAATCGCTCCTCGTGCACAACCCTTCCAGATGACCGAAAGAGCGCTCAGTCTGATTGGTCTCACCCGATATTCTTGAAATATTTGACATTTTGAATAAAACATTGCCATTTCCAGACTTCGTGTTGTTAGTTTTCTTGAAGGTCTTGTGCTTAATGCTTGATTTGTCTTTCGCTTCGTATTTCTAAGAATTGACTCTATAAATAGATAAAAAAAACAAAAACAAACAACGCTTCCCGCCCATAAGCTGTAGACCGAGTGCAAAATCTTTGTGATGATACTTTCTAAACGTGCATATCCATAGAAATAAATTCAATTCAATAAAGGATTGATTTCTACTGCGACTAAATTCAGCATTCCTACTAAAATATCAAACGCTGTGCTTAATCATTTATTATTAGTACAGAGCAATAAACAATGTACGATGATGATTAACCTGTTAATATGCTTTTATAAGCGGGTTCAAATGCACTTTTGGTAAGCATCAACACTGATCTGGCAACACTAGTGTGCATCTTTCCAAAGTGGTAAAGATCCAGATCAGCCCTGGGACCTGGTAGTCTAATTAAACTACCTCAAGGTTTTGCCAAAGCCCAGGGTGAATTGGTTCAGCTTTTTAATAGATCGAAATTCTATCCGCCAGACTATGAAAATAGCGAAAATTGCGTATTTTCGAAAATAGGTAGTGCAGGCACTCTTCTGCTTGAATGGTCATCTTTAGCTACGAACGAAGCCCGGCTCTCTCACTGCCCGAATAACGAAGAACGTGCAACACCCAAGAGCGCAATTCGTGCATCACGTGATCGTAGGTACGATACAGCGATGGGGTGATGATCATCCGATTTTGAATCTGCACCCACTGAGCTATATAAGTTCAGCTTCCTCAAGGATCGAGCCTCTTTTTTTTCTGAGAAAGGAACAAGTGAAGTTCGGTTATTGGTACCAAAAGTTTTTCTAAAAAGTATTGCTAAAAGATAAGGAGATAGTCTGGGAGTAGTATCAACAAACAATACGAAACTAACGATTTTAAATTGACTCTCTACTTGACTAGCCTATTGGTCCCAAGCAAATCGATTAATGTACCCCATTCTAGTATAAATTCCAGTACTACACTATGTTTGTTTTGATTTGATATGAAAGTTTGACAGATAAAATGAGGGGTTCGTGGATTTTCCTATGTTTCGAGGGGTGCATCGATTAGCTTGGAACCGAAGATAGTATCAGAGCTGAGCCAAAAAGTTGAGCTCGTTTCTTCGGGACCTTCTAGTCTTAGAGTTACCTCTATGGTAGTATAGTGCTAATCGTATTGAAGTTTAGACTCACACGTTAGCAGGACGAGCTAGTGACTAATTTCAAAGGAGCTTTGTGCTCACTAGCCCTAAGTGTTCAGTGATAAGTGCTTCGTCTGTCACCATACGGACCTCTTTCACGCTTCACCAATTACAGCGTAGAATCAGACATACGGAGTCTCTGTTTCCTTCCACGGGTCTGTCTATGATACCCATCATTTCTGGCAAGCATTGCTGGAACACCCGTTTTTGCAAAAGGTGCTGAAAATCCCGTCCGGCATTGGAGCTGGAATCCGCCTCAGCAAAGGTCAAAGGATTTGGTCACGGTTCCTCGAGAGCAGCAGCGACGGCAGAAGAGTGAGTCAAAGTTTAATCGTTTAATCTTCTTTCGTAAACCCTTCTGGTTAGAATAAAACCCACTTGAAGTCAAACTAGAACTTTTAAATTTTGAGTCGCGTTCATTACTTGCATGCACTGAACTTGATTACAGGTTGAGAACAAAAGGTAAAACAATGTGAGTTTTTTCAGGTTTTTCCTAGCTACGGTGTGCTGACCCTGAGAGGTGTGAAAAGAAGTGTGCTAGCCTCTGCTAGCTAGCCGTTAGTTACAAATTAGATTTTTTTTTCTAAAAATATTGTCGGTCTTTGTGCGTTAAACATTACGCATAATTGTGAAAGTACAGCGCATTATATCTGACACAATGTTTAACGTACAAAACAAGATTAAAATCGACAAGACTGACGCGTTAGTGGCGCCGGTGGTGTAGTGGTAAGCGTGATTGCCTCTCATCCCAGCATGCCTGGGTTCAATCCCAGTCGGCGTCGCCGGGATGTTCTGAGGCATAACATCTCTGATCACGCGTTCCTTTGGAAGGAAAGTAAAGCCGGTGGTCCCCGGTTTATGAGTTGATGGGTCGATATGTAGGGCTAGAGGTAGGGTCCAGGTGTAGGAGCTGCCTCCCTGGCGTCGGTAGCATTGGTGCTCAGCGCGGAAAACAAGATCGACGGAAAACAAATCAAGGAAGAAAAAAAAGACTGACGATCCTAGTTCGACGTCAAATATCAAATCAAACCGTGCTTGGTGAGGGCTTCTACTGAAACAGTCATTGATTACTCACTTGCATCCTGAGCCGTTTTGTCCTACACGAAACGAAAATCAATTATTTTATTCATGTGTTTCACTTATACATTTTTGCCAAAACATCAGCCTTATACATTCCATAAGACAAACCACATAGGTCGTATATGAATGCATAAAAGGTATGTGTGACCGCTTATACATTTCATTTGACATATGATCTTCATTAACTTTTTGCAAGGCGTCTGCTTATAAGTTGGCTTATACATTTTATGAATAATCAGCAATAGAAATTTTCCAAAAGGTATAAGGAGATTTCAATCCGTGTACTTGCAGGGATAGATGATGGATAGCTTCTTTCATCGATATGTGTGCTCAAAATAGCTGGGAATGTCATGGCCGTAAGGATGCAAAAATAAAGACGACGAAGGGAATATGACAATGTTACTTAGGACCTAATTCAGATCTGTTTAAAATAACAATTTTGGAAGCGAAAATCAGAGAGGTGTTGTGTAAAAAATTGAACCAGCACATGAATCACATTTTTTTTCTTCAGAAAAGGTCCATACCAAGGTGACTACATATAGGTGTTCTAATGTGTCGAATTCATGATTCAGCCATGTTGGATTTTTGTATGGTACAGCGACCGAGTTTGTTTACAATTCGGTCTAAAACCGCACTCCCCCCCCCCCCCTCCCACGACCTTCTCACCAATATAGTGACAAAGCTGGACCCACCATGGTATGTATGTATGTAAGGTAACCACCATCCCTTCAAAGATCTTGTCTTGTATGCAGCTCCACTTAATAGCAAGATCAATTTGAGCTACCGATCTGAATTCACAATATCGCTGTATGAAGGGCCAAAAACGGAGGGGCGGACCCATAAGCAGAGACACTTACGCGAAATCCACGGGAATTTAAGAATCTCCTTCCAACGATACGATCCAACAAATCGAATAACACAATTCGCAATACTTATTAAGCTTCCTACAGGATTGTAATTGTATTGGTTTGGTTTGGATTGGTTTGTAAAGAAGGGTGCGTCAATCTCACTGAAACTGTTGAAGTAGAATTCACACCAGCACAATCGAATCGGTAGGATAAAGAAAATGATAGTGTTTATTCCCTCCTAGACTCCGGTTGTCATACCACTCCATCGCCCACCATGGTCCATACAAAATAAATCACCGCAGCTTATTTTTACTAGCGACATCTGTTGCAAAAATCAATCCATGACATTGAGTATGTTCAGCCTGGGCTACATTTCCAACTTGTTTCCTTTATAGATTCGTCGACTGAACCCACACCAATCGCAGTTTGTTTTGTTTCGCTCGTTCGCATTCGTCTTTTGGCTCCGTCTGATGCTGGCACATGTTCCTTCGAACTGTCAAAAGCTTGAATAATTCGCGAGTCGCAAATTTCCATGTGTTGATCGGATTCGGTTGATTTTCGCACCGGTGCTCCGTTTTTTCGGTTTCCGCCTCGGGAAAACTTTAAACTTGTTTTATTTCTGTAAGATTTTACCGTCCGCGCACTTAAGTGTATTGAAAAAGCTTCAAAAATGCAACAGGACGAGGTGAGTACTGGTTTTGTTTTGATCTATGGCACACGCCTTAACCTCGGCATGCTTCCTTTTACCACAGATCGTTTGGAGTATCATCAGTCGGCAGTTTTGCTCGTACATGGTGAAAACACAAACGCAGAACTTTTGTCGTAATGAATACAGTCTGACGGGTTTATGCTCGCGCAAAGCCTGCCCTATCGCCAACAGCCAGTATGCCACAATCCGGGAGGAAAACGGAATCGTGTACCTGTACATGAAAACGGCCGAGCGGAATGCCTTCCCTTCGAAACACTGGGAAAAGGTCAAGCTATCCCGGAACTTCGAGAAAGCCGTCTACCAGATCAACGAAAATCTGCTGTACTGGGATCGGTTTGTAAGGTTGAAGTGCAAGCAGCGATTTACCAAGATAACGCAGTACCTGATTCGAATGAGAAAGTTGAAACTGCGCCGGCAGAAGATGTTGGTTCCGCTGTCGACGAAGGTCGAGCGCCGGGATAGGCGACGGGAAGAAAAGGCACTGGTTGCGGCCAAGATCGACAATGCCATCGAGAAGGAACTGATGGAACGGCTGAAGAAGGGAACGTACGAGGACATTTACAACTTCCCGCAGACGGCATTCAATAAGGCACTGGAGGCGGAAGAGGTTGAGGACGAGGAGGATGAAGCGGAAAGCGAGATGGAGGAGGAGCTAGAGAAGGAGATGGAAATCGACAACGAAGTGCAGAAGGAGCTGGACATGGACGATGAGTTTGTGGAGGGTGATTCGGAGGATGATGATGAGGAGGAGAAGGGTGACGATGAGGATCTGACGGATGGAGAGGAGTCGGATGCGGAGAGCGTATCCGGAGTTAAGGAAAGAGTGGAGGTGGACAGTGATTTCGAGTCGTCCGATGATGAAGACATTGAGGTAAGTGCGATTTCTTTAAAGATGTATGTATCTGTTGCCTTTTTATCGCTTCTGAGCGATAGTGCAACTACTGATTTTAGCGTGAAATAGTCGGAACAAACATTCAGAGCAAAGACTCATAATTGGTCATTAGAGCTGTTTTGAACTTGTCACCAATGTCGTATCGGGCATTAATCATTGGCGTAGCTAATAGGGGCAATGGCATAAATCCTAGCATCACTCTCGAAATACTGTAGAGTTGACCAGTTGGTAAGGGCGCAGCTACAATGTGAGCCCAAGCTGGAGGTGGCTGGGTTCGATTCGGTCCGGTCTAGGAATTTTTCGGGTTGAAAAATTTCTCGACTTCCCTGGGCATAAGAGTATGTATGATTGTACTTGTCACACAATTATACTAAGGCAAAAATGGTACAGGTATCGAAAGCTCTCAATTCAAGCTGAACATTGCATTAGGTCCTAAGTAACATTGATCAATTCTCTTCGTCGACTTTCTCTTTCGTTAATAATTTGAGCACATAACCGTTTCTTGTTTTGTTTGTAATATTAGATGCTAGATAAAAGTTTCTTTTATCGATCTGTGTGCTTGTAAATACCTGCGAATGTCTTTACATGACCTTGAGGATACAAAGAGAAAGTCGATTTAGAGAATCTGTCAATGCTACTTAGGACCTAATGCAATGTTTAGCTGGAATTAATAACTGTAGAAGTGCTCAAAGAACACTAAAAAAATGCGAAGAAGAGGAAGAAGAAGCATTCTTCGAGTCCTCTTGGGTTTTCTTCGTCGATCGTTCATACTTTCTTGGAATTGTCCTGGGAATCTAATGGACTAGGCTTAACTTTCTTCGAACCTTCTTCTCGTATTGTGTTTCGATGAGGTTGTCAATTTTATCCGGGACTCCCTTGTGCCTCCGGGCGCCCCACAGATTGTCGTGAATACCAAATACAACAGGGACACTTGAAAGTCGTTGACCTGATGCAGGATTTTACGCACCGTGATAATATGGTCCACTCAAGATCTTTCGGAGAGTGCCGTCGATTTTCTCATATTTCCGATTCAGGATAACTTTGCACAGAACAGTGAGAACAATTATAGACCAACAATTAAAATAGGCGGAACAACCAAACGTAAAACAATCGCTTTAAACGTAAATTTCTCGAGAATCAGCACATCCAAGTAATCTAACGCGTGATAGAGCAAACTTCCTTTTATCGAATGGCATTGTTAGTTTGCGTGGGAGTGTTTTGATTCGCTAGGAATTTTCGTTTGAAGTCATTATTTACGTTTGGTTGTTCCACCTATTACAATTGTTGGTCTAGAATTAATGCACAGTATCATATCATGTTACTGTGCCTCGCCAATTGTCGCACAAAGTCAGGTCCCCCTTCTTAGAGACCCCTTCTTAGAGTACAGAATAATTGTTGGATTTCATGCTTCTTCATGATGCGAGTGATGGGTCGTACTCTTGGCGGATCTAGTCGAGATGTAGATGTTGGTCGTCGAAACTCGAAAAAGTTGTTCGAAGCGCTAAAACCAACGTTTCAGTTAGTCAGTCGCGACTTTCACGGGCATCCTTGGGTTCGTCCTTGCTCCACTCAGGCGTCATGAGATATCATTGGCTAGTTGATCATCTCGCTTTTCCCGTTTGCAAGAGCGCTTCACTTCTTTCTCTAGAGCCGAAAACCGTTGACTGATGTCGGCTTTTGCTCCTCTTCGCCTCTCGATCTTCCGTCAGGTGCCATCTGTGATCCATTTTTTCCTCTGAGTACGCAACTCATCCAGGTGATTCTCATTCGTCTCGATAAAGGGATTTATGATGACCATCCACTACTCTTCTAAGCTGCCACCCTACGGAACATCCAATGCTCGGGTCTCAAGTTCTTCAACCAAAGAACTTTTCAAAGCTGGATCTTCAAGTCAGTGTGTGTTGAATCGCCGTCCGAGTCTCTCCTCCCGCCGGTGCATTCGCGCAATGCCGCTGAAAGCCGGATCTCACCAATTAGAGGGTGAAGACGTAATGTTTCCATTCCAGCGAAGACATCAAAAAGACTAGCAATGTTTGTAAAATTAGCTCAATGGGTTGGTTTTCGGTTGATTTGTGTCGAATTAAATAAGAAATACGTCCAATCTGAACTGCGTGTTTATTAATACTCTCAAACACTGAATCGAAACTTCAACTTCGTTCTCTCTGTTGTTGGTAATGAAGCGAGGGGGCTCACGATGTGTAAGGGTTGAACGATCATTCTCCCCCCGTTGATTCCACAGGATCAACCAAAGAAAGTAGGCAAACTTTGATAATAGCTCGCCGATACTCTCCCGTCGATGTTTTCACAGTCACTACTCGTACAATCCCATCCTTCCCTGGATGGGTAGATAGGATGTGGCCGATACGCCACTGATGGGGTGGTGCGTTGTCGTCCTTAAGTACCACAAGTGATCCAACCTCACAATTGGTGATACCGTTATGCCATTTTGGGCGTGACTGAAGATGATGCAAATATTCTGACGACCAACGCTTCCAAATGAGCTCCTTCATTAGCTGTATGTGTTGCCAACGGTTAAGTCGGCCGATTTTTTCTTGGTCGTAGGATGGTTCCGGAAGACACACAGCAGATCGCCCGATAAGGAAATGCGAGGGTGTCAAATGGTAAATGAGCGGTCGACTGTGCCAGGAATGTAGCAATTTCTTCGCAAGTTAACTTGGTCTCACCAACCACACGCTTCAAGTGATGCTTCACCGATTTAACGCCCGCTTCCCAGATACCAGCGAAATGGGGACTTCGTGGGGGAATATAATGCCATTGGATACTCTTGGTAATGCAGAAATCGTTCAGTTTTCTCTGGTGGCCTTGATGTTCGAAAAGTGTACGCAGGGCTGCCAGTTCGTGGTTTGCTCCAACAAACGTGGTTCCATTGTCGGAGTAAATGTAGCTAACCAAGGCAGCAACGAAGTTGTCTGTTGTTAGGTTAGAAACCAACTCAAGATGCATGGCTTTAGTTGCCATACAGATGAACACTGCAATGTACGCTTTGTACTGAACAGTCTTTCGCCCAGCTTGACCAGCATAGTCCACTCCTGTATTCGCAAACACTGGTGACGGTGTGATGCGATAATCTGGCAGATCTCCCATATACTGACTTGACGGTTGAGGATTGTGTCTACAGCACGCGTAACAAGTAACAATCGTCTTCTCGATCAATGATTTCGCATTAACCGGCCAAAATCGTTCACGTACAATCGACAGCAGACCGCGTTGCCCAACGTGCAAATGTTCTTCGTGTAGCGTTCTTACCAGGGTACGAGTAACTTGATGCTTATCTGGTAATAGGATCTGGTGTTTTCCGTCGTACGGAATCGATGAATACTTAAGCCGACCTCCAACTCTGATCAAGCCATCCGAATCTATAAATGGGGATAGTCCGCTATAGTTGTTCCGCTTCTGTTAACCACTGGATAAAACCTTGAACAGATCGCCAAATGCTTCTTGTTGAACCAGTTTCACAACAGTACGAAGTGCTTCATCCATTTCCTATACTGTTGGTTCTGAGAGATTCCTAGTCTTCGTGCGAGTGTTCGTAATGAACCGTAATACGTGCACCCATGCCCTTTGCAATCGTCTAAAATTGCTTATTCTGTTGAAATTGATCGGTGGTACATTCTTCACAGCTGAAGACCGTGTTTATCCGTAGTTCAGGTATCTCGATGGTACCATCGTACTCATCTGTGACGATTTCCCGGATAATGGTATTTTCCGGGATTCCCAGGAACAAGTGGGCACCTGTCAAGCATATATCAAGATTGAATTTTCAAATTGTCGTTTCTGCGTTTTTCTCAGAAGTCTAATCGAAAATGGTCATAGAAACAGCAAAACAACAAAACATTGAGGTACTTTATTTTAAATTTTACTAGGCATTCCCTTGGATCCCCCTATGAATTGTATATGTAACAGTAGAGTATAGGTTGTTGAACAAAATGACGTTGACTTTAGATGCTAATACCTGCTAACCTGAAAGATACACCTCCTTGAAAATAGCATCAAAAATTATAAAAACGGTCGTAAATCCTTAAAACGAAGAGATAGCGATTTGCTACTTTCTGCAAAAATGTGCCTTTTTAAAGAACTCACAACTTTGCAGAACATTGAAAAAATGGAAAAATTCAAACTTAATAGTCATGTTAAGACATTTTTCAACATTTTCTTTCATTAATTTCTTCCACTTGAGAGATAAGTTTTTTTAAATGACTTCATCTTCAATGGTTCCGTAGATGTTCATCAATTTTAACAACACATAACAAAGTTATTTTTTTTATCTAGATGTATACCCCCCTTAGGCAAACATGTTCGCTACTCCAATAAAGTACATAGGGGAAATGGCCCATCGCTTAAAAATCTGCTATTTAGCTATTTTATCTAGATGAACGCGTCATTGGGACGGTACTTATGGATATTTTTGGTCGCTATTGAAAATTTAGTCGATTGCTGAATTTATGTATGGGCCCAAATTAGGAGCATTTAGGCCGACATTACATCCATTTCCCCTACTCAAAAAATGAAGAAATATTCTGCAAGACAGCAAAATACTACACTCATTTGTGCTTTTTTTTTATTTCATCCCACTGTGGAGCTAACCGAATCACTCCGTACTGGCTCTCCTCCACCAGAAGCAATATGGTGGCACGAGCCTTCTCGTCACCTTTCTTTCTCAGCGTCAACGTCTTGTAATTTGAATTTCGTTGCGTTAACGCTTCTAAGATCCATTCTATCGCAGAAAAGCGGAGCTAGTTTAGTTTAGTTTTCTTTATTGTAGAGACTTTCAGCCGTGGGCTGGTTCGTCTTTTTCAGAGAAGCGAAGAAATCTTCAATTCCGTGGCATATAACCTATGGCAAAGCTTAATTAAAAAAAGATACGTATGGAATGTTTGGGTGTATGGAATGAACTAATTTATTATGAAAAATAACAATGTTGGTTTATAGGGATAGTTGCTAGGCACTCGGTATCTTGG